CAGCATAATAATCGTTTAATCTTGCAAGGAATTTTTTTCAAGCGCTGTACAAAGTTTCTTTCGGCTTTTCTTGTTTATTTATTTTTTCCAGTAAACGAGAAAAAGCCACAATCGTTTGTGCAAATTTGCAAAGAGAATGACTACCGCATACTTAAATATTGATGTGACAGAAAAATTGTGATTTGTTTGCCAATTCAAGCATAGGCGAGATAAGGAATTCTTTTCCAAATCATCGTGTATGTTGCTTGTGGGTTTGTGAAGGTAAACTCGTGTATATTCTGAACAGAATAATAAAATTCACATAATTCTATGATAGGCAATTATTGGTAACAAATGTGTAGGTGTTTTTCCATCATCACATTTGGCACACCAGTTTGACACCACATCAAATGGAAGTCCACGAAATCGTCACAGAGAACAAGGCATAGGGATATTAGATCCACCCAATCCTATAAATATTCGGGTCTGGAAGGATTCATACCCGCCATACTAATAGGCATTCTAATAAAAGCAATTTGCGATGGCAGCTTTTCTGGACTTGGAAGGTGCCTTTTAATATTGCCATCTTCCATCAATTCACAATTCTCTGTATTTTTCACAGATTTTGGTAGGATATATTAAAATACACCTTCACTAAAAATTTTTAAGTGTTAGTACCAAAACCAACGGAGTTACATGCCCTTATTAAAAAAGTCCTATCTGTTTTTGATTTTCTTTTTATAATGGTTTTTTGCTTCTTCTATAAAATAGAAAATTTGTTGGTTAGGCCTTTGTTGATTAAGGTAACGATATACTCCTTCATAGTTGCTGTAGAACTAGATAAAGTCATTGCTCTCCGGATCGACAATATGCTGAGTACAGGAAGCACCAATTATTCCTTGGTAATCGGAGAAGTGCAAAAATCGGGGGTTCCTATCTATTCTGTTATGCATCTTCGTGCCGAAAAAATTCTTGCTTCGCACATCGAAAGCCACTAAAGTTGTTGCGTGAGTAGATTAATCAGCCATTCTGGTCGTAGAGAAGTTCATGTAGATGGTAGATGGTACGATTCCTGTCTCAACAAGTTGAGAAGTAGACCAAAGAGCTAGCAGCAGCAGCTGGACTAGCTGGCACATTTTCGCTGAATCGCGATCACTCTGGCCACTATTCAATAAATGGAGAACATGGAGTTCTTACACTTGTAAGGCCTTTTGGTCTTACTAACTAAGTATTGGCGGAATGTTTTTTTTTTTGTTACGAATCGAGAGCCACACTCCAAACCGGTCAGTGTGTGACAGCAACCCGAATTTAACCTCCCACCGCCTAAGTACCATTCCCCCGACACCTCCGTCAGATATTTCATCGTGATGTAGTTTAGGCGGTGGCTCTAGATTCGTTACTTTCATGATGTAGTCTGTTAAAAAAGTTCCATTGACTTAAATTCCTCATTATTGGTTTAAAAGTAAACAACTAAAAAAGGAAGCGGAATTCGTAGATTTCCTAATGGGTAGATCTAATCTTCATTTGGCGGTCTGCATGACTCAGGTGAGTCAGAGTGCCAATACCTCCTTTTAGGAGTAAAGATGTCGGCTACTTCCTCCAAGTAGATGCTGCGTATTCCAAAGGAAAACTAACTGGACTTAAACAAACCAGGGGACCGATGGATCTTTGAGCCTTTCGCTTACATTCGCTGCGTCACCCTGGGTTCAGCTATGCAAAGGGAGCTAACCTTAATATTGGCTTTTCAAACTCCCTGCTGTCTATTTTCTCTTGAAAGAAGAGCCTGTCCCTGAGATTCGTTTATCAGTATAAGCAAATAATCGATCCCTGTTTGAAAAATTCCATTCTTCAAAGTTTCCTGAACCTTATATGTATGTAGCCTGCGATTGCAAATATTTTTAAAATTAACTATGCAAATCTTCTTTATGCCCGCCCTTGTGATCTCCTGCTGATTGCACTTTTATTCAACATTTGGCTTGTGAAGAGAGACGTGGACCCTTATGTTAACATATTCAACAATTCAGTACTGGTTTAAAGCTTTAACAAATACATACATACATATATCAGTGTCCTGGTTGCTAAAGAACAAATAATATAAAATTCATAACACAATGATTCGAAACCAACAAAGCCTGAAGTATCTTAAAAAAGAAAACTTTGCATTTCCGCAATGTTCAAAAAGCAAGTAAACCACCATTATTACCGTTAAAATGCACACACTCCGGCTAGGCACTTTAATATAAATACATTTGCCAACTTGACACATCCCGGAAGTATTTACAGCCACTTTCTGTCAAGTGGATTCATCGCACTGCGTGAACGTGCAACCAAAAAGGTGTCGGTCGTGTCGTCTCTCGAAGATGGCCATTCTGCAGTCTTGTTGCTTTTGGAAGACAGTGCGTAAAGGCAGTATGGCCAGCGCAACGTACACTTTGGTAAGTACTTACGTATGTATGTATGTGTTTATTTATGTGAAAAACTTCCACAGTATGTATGTATGTAGGTACGTGTATGGGTACAACGAAAAGCGCTTATCGAAACTTTTCTTTTCAACTTTGTGACATAAATGAGAACTCTATAGTAGATTAAATATGAACTCTCTTTTTGTGGCATTCTAAGAACTTACCAGATATTTCGAAACGAATTTCATTCAATTACTACCCAAGTACATAGTACGCAGTTGAAATTTTTTAATGCTCTTAAATTTTGTGGTGTCTTCCGTTCTTCTGTGAAAAAAATAATAGTAAGGATTTACCGTGATTTTTCTTTTGTTGCTTTAGATTGGAAGGCAGCAGCAAGCAGATAGCAAGGGTAGACAATTGAAAGCAGGTTTCTTTTTCGAGTTTCAACTAATAATTGTATTGCATTGTTTTATAAAACGGTAGTAACATCAACAGAAGTCATAGTCTAACGCTTTTATGTAATTTGATAATTTCTTTTTCCGTATTGTATGTTGTATTGTAGGTTAATAATTATCCAAAAAATTTACGAATGTATAGAAAATAAAGGAAAAGGTGATAATATGACAATCAATTAACATTCATTTTTTTTAAATCGTCGACTTGTTTGGTCATAATTAGTTTTTGTCAAAAAATGTGTAAAATGTCCTATGTTGCAATGTCGAAATGACTAGCAGCCCAGTCAATGCGACACAATTTTTAGTTGTTCCCTAAAATAATTTACCAATGGACCGATGTTCAACCAACTTCCTGATGAGCCGGAGGCTCGAAATTACAAACTTAGCTCAGAACCCGCTAGGTGGTACTGGAGTCGATATATTTGAAAACCCCGTATTTATAGTCTGATTTGGATCATTTTTGAAATGGCGTCAACTTTTCAAGAACGCCCTTTTTCAGAATTTCATTGGAGAGCAACCTATCTCAGAATTTGATTGAAGAACGCCCTATCAGCTGAAAATACATTGAAAATATGCTGAGATAGGAAGTTTTTGAATCGGCAGCAGAGATAGGGCGACCGACTTCCTGTGTCCTTTAAATAGGTAAGTACTACAACAGCCATTTCCGCCAAAAAGAAAACCTAAAACGTTTTAGTAGACATGTCTTCAATGGAATCAACCACTTAGTTGAGTATTTTGAAGCATTTCGAAATTTGTACTTTCTGCCGCTCTTAGACCACTGTACGTTGTTCGCATTTATTATATTTTCGCTCAGCTCATCTTTATATCATCTTAATAAAAAAATATTTTCGTCAGCCACTTTTAGTATTTTGGGTGATTTTCCATTGGCAGCCACTTTCGCAAAATCAAAATAAATCAATCTCAGATAAGCAAGTTTATGATTTAAAAATATGTTTAGCATTAAACTAATACATTTACACGCATATGAATAACGGTAAAGCGTGCTTAAATGGACACCATACTTTCATGAGCACTTTCAAACGGGTTTCAAAAGTAATTTGCTGATTTTACGACTCTTTGACTTCTTTCCATGAATTTTTATGTGCCAACACATACATACACAAATTGTATATGTATTCATCAACACGCGATTACATTTAGTTATGAATGTGCCACAGGGAGTCGCCATGGCGATCTAAAAGTCAAATTGCTTATTAAATAGGAAAATTAAGTGCGCCAATAAAACGCGCTGGCATCTTGTAGTACTTATTCGTAGTATGGATATGCCCACTAGGGTGGTCCAAAAAAAGTAAAGTCGGAAATTTAATGCTCTCACCCCCTAGGATTGTTCTATACCGAAAAAAAGTATACCCCTGTTTTTTTTATTTTAAAATCAAAATATATTTAGAGGTCGCTCAAAGCGCTTAAAGTTTCCCATGTATTTTGTATGG